CAGAGGACAACCTGCCACCACATGGATCCCTGCAGATCAAACTCAGGTCATCAGGCTAGCAGCAGGTTCCTTTACCTACTGAGTCATTTTATAGGCCGCTACTATTGGCATTCTTAAACACTATTTTCTTGCTAGAATTAAGAAGGTTATTTATAAGTATTGAGGCCCTAAGATGAGTTCTAATCTCATAGCAAAAAATTGCTTGCGCAAACTGACCTGCAATGGTGTTTTGTTTTTTAGAATAGAGAATAAATAGGCCAGGTGTGGTGGCACACACCTTTAACATCAGCACTCAGGAGACAGAGACAGGCAGGTATCTAGGAGATTGAGGTAAACTGGATTGAGGTAGAGAGTTTCAGGACAGATGGGGCTCTAGGGAGAACTTGTCTTAAAAAACTTTTTTAAAAGTTTTAAAGTTTAAAACTTTTAAAAAAAAAATTAACTTTAGGGGCCTGGAGAGGTGGCTCAGCAGTTAAGAGCACTAACTGCTCGTGCAGAGAACCCAAGTTTGATTCCCAGCACCCACATGGTAACTAACAACCATCCATACCTCCAGTTGCGGGAGATCTGATGCCCTCTTCTGTCCTCTTCAGGCATTGCATGACATTGGAGCATTTATACACATACAGGCAATATACTCATACACATAAAATAAGAAATAAATATTTTAGAATAGAGAACAGATTCGCATAAGCAATTAATGTTTTCTTATCTTTGTGTGATTAGCTAAAAGACTCCTGCTATGTCATTTCATCTTTCTCTCTATCCTGTATGTGATATAGAAAGCTTATCAGATAATGCAACCGCCTTCAGCAACAGATCCAAACAACTCCGAAGGCAGATGTGGTGGCGTGGATGCAAAGTAAGTGAATCAGGAATCAAAGTAGTGGTCAGAGACGTGTGGAGAAAAGTGCATTTGAGCTTTGACAGCAAAGCTGTAACTGTCTCCTGGTTTTTCTCAATGTGGGACATGAAAGAGATAGTAATCAAGCAGTGTTTAAAAGGATTTCATAGATTTCTTTATGAAAATACTCCACATTAATAATTTAGTTATTTAGATGTGTTAATAACAAATATACATTTTTCTTATAACTTAATAGCACTTTAGGGAAGAATTTATAACATAATAAATAATTTATTATTATAGTAACTATATACAGGGGTTTTTGTTAATAAACTGGGGACTAGAAAAAAATGAGATTTTTCTGTTGAGATGAGAAAAAATAAAAGCAATTTCTTTGTTAGAATTTGTTCTAAGATAAAGATTAAGGATGGGGTTGGAGAGATGGCTCAGCAGTTAAGATCATTGGCTGTTCTTGCAGAAGACCTGGATTCAAATCCCAGCACCCACATAGTGGCTAACAACTGGCTGTAACTCTAGTTCCAGGGGATCTGACACCCTCTCTGTCCTCCTCGAGCACTGGATGACATGGGTGCACTTACACACATGCAGGCATAACACTCATACACATAAAATTTTTTTAAAAAAGATTAAGGAAAAAGTTCCATTTTATTCCTCATTATTCCAGAGAAATAAGAAATAAAAGACTTTTAAGGAAAAAAAATGATATCACTACTTACCAATCTCAACCTGTAGAAATTTATATATATATTTTTATTGAGTTTTTGTGCATTTCATACAATAGACCTTTATCATATTTAGACCCCCCACACACACCTACATCCTCCTATAGCCCCCCTCCCCATCGAATTTCATATATTCTGTCATATATATTAAGGCCTATCTGATTAGGCTTTTGTACCCAGATGTCCCATTATACAAGTTCATCCACTGGGGTCTAGTCAGCTTATCTAGAGTCACTCCCTTAAAGAAGAACAACTCTCCCTCACCCAGCAGTAATCAGTTGCCAATTGCTCCTCAGCTGGTGCCCATTTCCTCAATTCTATGCTGGTTTTTTTCTGACTCAGTCAGCATAGGTCTTGTACATGGTGTTATCATTGCTGTAGGTTCATATGAGCAAGTTCCCAGAATCCAGTAAGACTCTGATTCCTATGTTTATGAACCAACCCTGGTTCTTAACAACCTTTCCACCTTTCGCAATGGTCCCTGAATCATGGGTGAGTGGGGTTTAATATAGGAGTTCTATCCAGGGACATACATTCTGCAGTCTCTTATTCTTTACACCTTGGCCACTTGAGGCCTTCTGTGTGCATCACACTCTGTTGCATGAGGAAGCTTTGATGGCAAGAGTTGAGGGATATATTAGTATTCTCTTTACCCCGTTTCACTATGTTCCATGAGCTGGTATGGAAATTCCTCTGTAGATGTGTCACTTAGGGCTGAGCATCTCTCAGATGTGTGTTCTCTTTGTGTGACCAGTTGTGAAACTCTACAATAAGCCTCCATCTCCAAAGAAGCCAAAAGAAGCTTGTTTGATGACTGGTGTATGGTGTACTTGTCTGTAAATATAAGGATCCATATTTAGCATACAGTAAGGCAGATTTCATTTGTGTAGAGATATGACAGAGATAGTGTTTTCTCTAGGATCTATGACCTCTCCAGCCATTTGTATTTGGCTATAATTACAGTGCCACCCATGAGTGCCCTCCCACTGAGAAGGCTCTAAGTCCAGTTAGATAGCTGTTGATTACCCCCTAGATAAAAGTGCCACTACTGCACTGCTATAGTTGGTTGTGCCAGTCATTGTTGTCGTTATTGGGCTTTGAAGCTGGGGTTGGACCATTGATATTTCCCTTAGCAGCTTGCATAGTGTCCTCTAGAACTGTGAGAGCTAGTCTTCAGTGAGGAGGCTTCCAGGTCAACTCCTACTCCATTGCTCCAAGTGCGGTGTCTAAAGTATGTCCTGTCTTCGGCAGTAGGGTCTTATCTTCCAGTTCTGGGAGGCAATCAAGGGCTGTGGCAATAGCCTGTGTTATTTTGGGAGTCTTGGATGACCCTGGCCAACAACTCAAAGGGAGGTTTTCTCCTGTCTGGCACTGCTTGTTATCTATCCTACAGGTATACACATGTATTTATGTTCAGATATTGTATGTGTATCTTTCAGTAGGTTTTTGAGTTAATACATTTCCTTCTGGTTCCAGCACAAAAGTCAGCTCCAAATGGATCAAAGGCCTCAATATAAAACCTAAAACTCTTAAACAGCTAGAACAAATTATAGGCAGTACCCTATAAGATACAGGTGTAGGAAAGGACTTTCTGAGTCAGACGTCAGTTGCTCAGGCATTGAGGTCAACAATTGACAAGTGGGACTTCATTGAACTAAAAAGCTGTACAGCAAAAGAAACAACCAAGGAAGTGAAGAGGAAACCCACTGAGTGGGAGAAAATCTTCATCAGCTACACATCTGACAGGATTAATATTCAGAATATATGAAGAACTCAAAAAACAAACAAGAAAATAATAGACCCAATAAAAAGATGGGTTATTGATCTGGACAGAGAATTCTCAAATGAAGAAATAAAGATGGCTAAGAAATGCCTTAAAAAGTGCTAAACATCCTTAATAATTAGGGAACTACAAATCAAAACCACTTTAAGATTTCATCTTATCCCAGTCAGACTGGCTAAGATCAAAAGAACAGAAGGCAACAAATGCTGGTGAGGATGTGGAGAAAGGGGCACACTCATTCACTGCTGGTGGGAATGCTAATTCGTGCAACCACTATGGAAAGCACTGTGGACAACTCTTTAAAAACCTGTAGAAACTTAAAAAAATTTGTTCTTACTAAATTTTGTTGTATTTCATACAGAATACCTCAAACAATCTGAATCATCTTTATAGCCCCATCCCCACCAGTACCCTCCCATAGTCCCCCTGTCCCCCACTTCAACCCATATACTCTTTCCTGGATGTTAAGGCCCACTGTGTCAAGTCAGTGTCCCCAGACATTCCCCAGTGCAAGTCCATCCACTTTCAGTCTAGTCAGATCCTTTTCATCTATCCAAACACCTATCATTTTCTTTATTTTATTTTTTAACAGAGATAGGGTGGGGGTTTGTTTACAGAGTGGATGTCCCCTATTACTGCTGCACTAGAAAGTCCACGCTCAAGTATAGATACTGTGACTTCCTGATAGCCACAGAAAATGGTGAGAGAGGTGCCTCTTGGCATTTTTGGCTTATATATCCTTAGCCCCTCCACCACATGCAGTTAAGGTCAATTGATTAGGTGGGAGGGGTAACTGACTCCCTCCCCGACTCCTTGATGAGTGTGGGGCAGGAGTTGTGACTATAGCTTGCTGGCATAGTGGTTGGAGGACACTTCTAGTTAACACTCCACACCTTCCTCTGGCTCTTACATTCATTCTGTCAACCTCTTCCACAAAAGTCCCTGAGCCTTGGAGGGGGTGGTAGGTGTGGGATGATCTTCCTCCTATTGTCTCCGTGTTGTCAGTTTTCCATGGGCTGTTGGCCCATTTTTCTGTGGTATAGGATTCCATCTACTATAAAAATAAACAGCAAGAGGCAAGGACATCTAAACAGTGGCTGCTCTGATAACCTTTGGGTGTAAACACAAACACTTGGATGGTACTTTAGCAGATGCATCACATCCATCTAACAAAACAATTGCAGTGGCTTCCCATTGGGGCCTATATTCTCCCCTACCACAGGGGGTTGGTCTAGTCTACAGTACCAGATGTGTGTTCTACCCCTAGGAGTGGGCATTATATCCAGTTGAAAATTTGCTGGTTTTACATACATAACACTAGACACTCCACTGTTGCACCACGAGGAATGTTTTGAAAAACCTGTAGAAATTTTTATAGAAATGAATTTTCTGGGGCTGGAGAAATGGCTCAGCAGTTAAGAGCACTGACTGCTCTTACAAAGGACTTGAGTTTGGTTCCCAGCACACATGTAGTGGCTAACAATCTTCTGTAACTCCAGTTCCAGAGGGTCCAATACTCTCTTCTAGCTTCCGTAGGCATATTCTTATGGTACATTTATATTCATGCAGGGAAAACAAAGTTTTTTTAAAAAATTAATGATGCTGTATGTGTTAGTACATGCCTTTAAACCCAGCACTCTAATCTCAGCACTGAGGAGGCAAAGACACATTGATCTCCAGGCCAGCCTGGTCTATATAGCGAGTTCTAGGCCAGCTGAACTACAGCTGGGGCTACAGGGAGACCTTGTCTCAAAAAAAATAAATAAATAAAAATAGAAAGAAAAAGAAATGAATTGGCCTCTTAAATCAAATTTGGCTACTAATCATTACAGAAAATATCTCTTGTAGGATTTTCTAGCAAACTTAATGTTATATGAGCAAATATTTTTTCTTCCTGATTCTGGGTTTGATTTTTTTATTTTGCTGAAAAAGTTAAGCATGGGCTTATTGTTTTTAATCTCTTGATTTTAGATTCAGCAATAAATTCCTAACCTTGATTTAGTCATATGTTAAGGATTGCTTTCAAGAGCTGCCTTGGATATAGTTTTGTCTGTCTGCCTGTTAAATATTCTTATTTCCAGAAATAGAACTGAGGAAGCAAGGGAGGGAGGGAGGAAGGGAGGTCTCATTAATCCTCTTATGTAGAACTTAAATTTTCTATTTTAGATTTTTTTTCTTCAAAGAATAAATTTTGTATTTTCTTTCTTTCTTTCTTTCTTTCTTTCTTTCTTTCTTTCTTTCTTTCCTTCCTTCCTTCCTCCCTCCCTCCCTCCCTCCCTCCCTCTTCTTTCTTTTTTGAGAAATGTTCTGTCTATAGACAAGTTTAGAAAACCAGCAGGTTCATGAGCCAGTCACTGCTCCTCACGTGCACCATTCAAGTAATTTTTTGCCAGCTTTTAAATTATATCTAAGGATTTTTGGATTTTACTTTAAGTTCAGATCAAAGGAATAAAGTGTTTTTAAGAGATTTAAAAAAGCATAGGATTATTGTTTAAACAGTATATCACTTTTGTGGACCACTAATAGCATCAACCATGTCATAAACAACATTGTTGTATAACTTAGCAAAAAACATTTAAAGAGCAAGTATTTTCCATTTGCTATTTTCTAATGCTCTGTTTCTTCAGTCTCACCATACCCTATCACTACTACATTGGGCTCCTATCCATCTGGAGAGACTTTCCCATACCTCCCATTTTTCTGGACTGACTTCTATAGTAGTGCTTTAGGAAGAGTTTTATGAAAAAGGAGATAGGAAATAAAAGACATGAGAAGCTGCCAGTGGTTGTAAGTTACGGCTGGATATGAGGGAATGTATTCAGGGCCAGTAATGGAAATGTATTTGGTTGCGATGTTTTTACACATTTCCCATCCAATATTGGAAACCCAAGGAAGAAAACTCTACTCACTAAGGTGTTTCAAGATTTATGTTGATGTTTCCATATAAAGTGTCTGAAGTTAAGCCTAGTTAACTTTATATTAACAGGACAAATTAATATATGTTTTGGGAAAAGTGGAAAAACTGCTGTAAAATTCCATTCAACTTCAAAATTGTTTCAGGTTAAATGAAGAATTAAAGTACTTTATAGTATAATGTAAGCTTAGGTACATACTGAATGTAGGTACTATCTCCATATGTTCCAAATCTGTTTCTACATTATTTTATTTATCATAATTAAAGATTTAGGAGGGACTTACATCCAGATTACAAAGTGTTTTAAATATATTTTGGGGTCATTTTGTTGCTCTCACAAATATGATGTCACAAGTGTTGACAGTCATTCTATTTTTAGAAATATTTCATTGACACCTGGCGTGGTGGAAGACACCTTTAATGCCAGTACTCAGGAGGCAGAGGCAGGCAGCTGTGAGATCAAGGACAGCCTAGTCTACATAGCAAGTTCCAGGCCACCCAGAGCTACATGAGTCCTTGTCTCAAAAACAGAGGGGAGTGGAGGAGGGAGACTTTGGTTTCTGTTTACAAGTCAGTAAAGTAGGTCATCTCTATAATAATGTCCTTTTTTTGAGGTGACCATTTTTAATTATGTGACATGATTTGATGAAAACAAGGCTTTTAATTCATTAAGGAATTGAAATCATTTCCTATAATTTATGAAACTATTTCTGTAATTTGTTAAATTAAATGATGATTGTGGCAGTTTTATATAGAAAGGTGACATGAGCTCAAAATGTCAAGCAGCTGAGAATTGATGTTAAGGTTTCTCCTCCTAACTGTGAAACAGAATACCCTAGTAAGCTACTTAAATGCAGTTGTTCATGAAGAATCTAAAGTGTATTCCTTAGAACGGAGATTAAAACATGAAGGAGGAAGCAGGACTGTAGAGAAAGGAAAGGGAGCAAACAGCTAACTGTCCTCGGACTTGGAGAAAACGGCTGTGAAGAGTGCTGCCGTATGTGCTTAGTAGTTCCTGTCCTTGGTTTCCAATTCCATGTTTTCAGTTATCTACACTGAACTGTGGTCTGAACATTTTAATATTTGTCTTGACTCTTTGAAGAGAAAAACCAAACTCATATAGCCTTATTACAATATAGTGTTATAGTTATTCCTTTTTTATTAGCTGTTAATCTCTTCCTGAACCTGATTTACAGATGTTAGCATAAGCATGCATGTATAGGGAAAGCAGCATATACAGAATTTGGTGCTACCCATAATTGGAGGCATTCACAGGACTGGCAGGGCAGGGGCACATTCATAAGGAACATAACCCCTCAGATAAGAGAGGACCATTGTACATTAAATAATTCAGACTCTCTGCCTATATATTCATCCAATCAACCTTTGAACAGAGCTGCTAAAGGATAATTTTTGTGCCTTCCATTAGAAATAGGCATATGAAACGATAGACAAAATGGGCCAGTCCCATAAAGTCTTCCATTGTTGCTGTTTATTGTGCAGTACAGCCTTGGGTAATAACCTCCAGCAAAGCAAAATCCCTCAAATTTGAGAGAATTAGGATTATTTACAAAAGGATGGAAAACAGGTTCACATGAGAGACAACAGATTGGAAACCTTCCAGGGAATGTGCTACTTATTGATGAGCTAGAATAATGCAGTAAGTAGAACAGATAATCTTGTCATTATTAACAAATTGAATCTTTGATTTGCCTTTTTGTGTGTTGTAGATAAAAGCCATCATGGCTTTGGCTGCTGCTATCCTCTTGCTAATGATCATCAGTAAGTATTTATTGGGTTATTACTTTATTGGGTCTTATGTTTTATGGGGTTTAGGGTTTGGTTTGGTGGTGGTTTGGTTTTGTTTTTTGTCGGAGACACAGTCTCCTATGTAGCCCAGGCTCTCCTAAATGCTCTTAACATGTAGCCCAAGCTGGCCTCTGACTTATTTTAAGATCATTTTAATTCCTTTAAGTTCCAGTTGACTTAGTGTATCTAATGTCAAGATTGAATAATGACTTCAGACCTGAATAAGGAGAAATGTCTGAAATTCTATGTAAATATGCACATATATAATTCTGTAGGAAAGAGTATGCCTTTTGTTAGATTTTCCAAAGGATGCCCGCTCTCCTCAGCCATACCTGAAACGTAGCACAGGCCTTACCTATTTGTTCAAGGCTAAATGTGATGTCTGTTACACTTAGGCTCAAAGTACTCGTTTTTCTATTTACTACTTTCAGGTATGACATTTTACAATCTGGTAATACTGGGTTCAAGGGACAAATCCATTTAAATTCTCCAGATGATTTTTTTCTGTTTTCGTGGATTTGAACTTGATTTTAGTTACAAAAGCACAACTCCTTTCATCCTTAATGTTCTGTTCAAGGTCAAGTTTATCTACCTTTCTTCAAGGCCTTTTTACCAGTGCTTTTGGAGATTTCATGAAGACCTGGAAAGGGTCTACAAACAACCATTTGAAAAATTTTGTGAGGCTATTTTTAAACTTAATAAAATGTTAGAGGAAATAAAATCAAGTTTATCATTTGATCTGTGAATTTGTTACTAGTTTTTTGAAACCTGTTTTAATCCCAGTACTCATGTTGCTTCACAGTCATTTGCAGATGGTTCAGAGCAGGAACCATTTGACTCTCCTGATCCACAGGTCTCCAGCTGGGGTCAAACAAGGAGATCTCTGCCTTCCTGTTCCAGCCCTCATTGCACGACCCACTCTACCCTTTCATAGTCTGTAGTCTACATTTTTGTACTTTTTGTTGACTTCATGGTTTAGCTTCAAGAATGGTTCAGAAATATTCTCCATGTTACTAACTGTAAGGCTTTGATTTACCTTAATAGTAAATACATGGTTAGGTTTGAGTTACTATGCTGCCTGCCTTGCGTTCAATGTTATTTAATTAATAATATAAAGTGAAATGTCTTTGAACAGAAACATGAAACAAGATTATATATTAATTTGTTGACAAAAATGTAATAACCAGAGGCTCACAGGAACTTAACCCTGTATTTTCCCTAGGAGTGGTAGTTCAGTAGTCACTAATTCAGTGTTCATGTTGACTTCATAATTATCTCAAATAACAAGAACCTTCCTAAATAGTGGACAATATGCAAAATACAGAATAGCACAAAAAGGGAATATAAAATTCAACTATATTCTTACTACACAGAGATAGCTACTGCTAATATAAATATTGTATATGCTTTTGTTCTTTTCCTATTAGTATTAAGCATTGCTTATCAAAATCATATCAGGTGCATTTCCTAATAAATGTTTTGTGTATTATTTTTCCATGTTATTAAATATTTTAATAATATTTTAGAAGCTACATACTACTGTTTTGCCATGATTGTTTGCTCAGGATGCCAATGTTAGACATGTGGGTTGTTTATGATATTTGCATTTCCTCTCTTGCTTCGTACCTGTTACCTCAGACAGAAGTGTGGCCTCGTTGCTCCCTTCTGGAAGTGAGCATGGCCTACACTTAGGGATTGTGCTTCTCACCTAGCGTGTGGTCCTGATGTTGATGTATTTTTTTTACTCTTTTCTCTTCCAGTTCTTATAGTTGTGAAATACCATACTTGATTTGATGACAGAGATCCTCATTAAACAAGATCTGGGACAATAATAATAAAAGATTGCTGCATAATTTAGATGAAACCTATGTATATAACTTTCAAATTTCCTTTTTCAAGAAACTAAGAGGCAAGTACCACTTCAAATTGGAGCGTTGCGAATACCCAGTCATCTTCTCATCTAACAAAATATGCTTTGAGTAACTATATTTGAGGCAAAGAGAACTCTATTTCACTTTATTCCAAGGATCTAATTTGAAACTAGATACTTGCCAGTTCATTGTGTGTACATATAAACGCTGATGACAGTATTTCATAATTGTATTTTAGTGGCTTAAGAACTTTCATTATTGTATTAAAGTGCGGGTCAGGCTGGGGTCAAGAAGTCTTGGAAGTACTAAATCATTATGCTGGAAGAGATGCCTCACCATGCTGTCAATATTAGCAAGAATGCCGTTCTTTCGTGTTACAGTTGCTCTGCAGGCATTCCACATTTATGGAGACAACAGAAGCTCCGTTGTCAATGTTTCTGCCTTCAGCTCCACCTGAAAACATTCCAGTAAACCTGTTTCTGACTGTATAAGGGAATGAGTGGTAATTTTTTGGTATTTGCATTTTGAAAATGGGAAATATAAGCAGTGTGAAAAGCATAATATGGTATTATAAAACCAGAGGTAATAAAACCATTGGCAAATGTCACTGAAGTGTTTGAGAGTGACGATATAGAGCTACCAGTCTTGGTCCACCTGGCTGTTGGGAAAACTCTAGCAAAGAGTGACTGATTCTGATGTGAGTAAATCAAGTCTACAGGTAATTTTTTCCTTAATTTTTATTAATAGTTTTTTTCTCTTTATTTACCAGAAGCACTAAAGTTAGCAAGGTCAGATGCTTTGAATTTTACATTTTTGTATTCTTGGGTTATCCTTGGGGAGGTGTATGTTACACAATCAAGTCCAAACAGCCAACAGCACTGAGTAGTAAAACGTCAGGGGCCTAGGCAGGCTGTCAGCACACCTGCTAGAGGCCATTAGTTTCAGCCTGTCTTTTATAACAGCAAAGTGTGTTCATTTTAAAAGAATGCCAACCCCTTCTATTGTTTAAACAAGTCAAAGTGAAAATGCACAATAACGTGGGGGAGGAACAAACATTATGATAAAATTGGAGCTTGCAGAAACTTGTTAAAACGGACATCTTAAATTAGAAATAGGGTTCATGAGAATTACCACTATGTAAAAAAGGAAGACAGTGATCTTTAGCAGATTTTATTTCTTAGATCATTTTAATTCAAAGTGTATAAAACATAGAATCTGGATTTTTGTTTGTTTAATTCTGCAGTAGTTAGTACTAACAGACCAAATTGTTTAGAAGGAAAGAAATTGGCAGGAGAAAGATCAAATGATATCCGGACATATTTGGAGTTTAGAGCGCCAAATGCAGCTGCTGGATCTCATAGTTGTGTGTTTTGGGTTTTGGGGGGTTTTTGTTTTGTTTTGGTTTTGAGCACTTGAGTGGTAAAGGTCTTTGTATCATGGAGTGATGACTCACCTTTCAGCTCCAGTGACAGGTCATGTGACAGGCATCTGAACTGCTAATAAACCTGTTTACCTGAGGGGCATTCTTAGAATTCAGTAGCTACAACTTTAGGAATGGAGATGTTTTATCTAAATGGGCAGAACTGGTCCTAACCAGGTTTGTCTTTTACTTGGGTTGAAACTGGACAGAAATCATTCCTTTTAGGTGATGTAGAGGTCATGTTTAGCTCCAATATCTATTAGTGAAGACAAAGCTTAATTCTTAAAAAGACTCCACATTTCCAGTGTTTCAGAAAGTATGCCACTTTTAATGAAACATTATAAAAAATAAAATTAGAAAATTATTTTTAGAACTTTAAGCATAAGAAATAAAATATTTATATATATATATGTAGTTGTTTTATATTTAAATGTATTGCTGTTAAGAAAATCATGTTGCCATGTAATGGTTAGAATTTTGCTTCAGTAATGACTTTACTTAGAATGGCTGGCATGTTTATGATGTGGCAATATTAGAAACACCAGCCTTCTTACAGTAAGAAACAGAAGAGAGCCAGGTGGGACGGCTCACCCCATGATCCTAGCACTCTAAACACTGATGTAGGAAGATTGGCATGAGTTTGAAACCAGCCTGGGCTACATAGTTCTAGGCCAGCCTGGACTATATAGAATGAGATTGTCTCAAAACAAAACAAAACAAAACTAGGAGAAGTAGTTGTTCAAACTGTTGCCAGGCCTACCTTCATTCTTTCCTTAATCATTCTTTTTCTCATTCAGCTCAGATCATCCTGCACTTGAAAAAATGAAGTTTTACCACCATCAAAACTGTCATTATTTAACAACAATGAAGATCAACAGAAAAATCCAAGTAGCTTTGCTAATGTTAGTTGATACCCACTGAAATCAGGTCACTGCTTTTATGCCTGAAACCTGCCCTTGTGATTTGTCTTTATAGACGCCTATTGCCTTGCCATGGTTTTGTGATTAAATGGGTTCCTCCTTCTGATCCTAACTCAGTAGTATCTTTGGTCTTTTGATTCCTCTGTCTTAACAAAACTCACTGAAAGCTGCGCTAAGATTTTATAAATTGGAAAACTTTCTTAAAAAATATTTTATTTAGCTGGGCGTGGTGGTGCACGCCTTTAATCCCAGCACTCGGGAGGCAGAGGCAGGTGGATCTCTGTGAGTTCAAGGCCACCCTGGTCTATATTTTTATTTTATGTGTATGAGCGTATCGCCTGCATGTAGGTAAGTGCACCCATGTTGTGCAATGCCCGTGGAGGACAGAAGAGGCTGTCGGATCCCCTGGAACTGGAGTTACAGACGGTTGTTAGCTGCCATGTGGGTGCTGGGATTCGAACCTGGGTCTTCTGCAAGAACAGCCAGTGTTTTTAACTGCTGTGCCCTCTCTCTAGCCCGGAAAATTTCTTGATTAAAAGAAGCTTCACTATTGATGATGGGACATTGTCTAAAGTAGAGAAAACGTAATACATATCAGATTTAGAAATACCTATAGAAAGGCCAGGTCGTGGTGATGTGTGCTTTTAATCCTAGTACTGCTGAGGCAGGCCGATCTCTGTGAGATCGAGGCCATCCTGGTCCATGTAGTGAGTTCCAGGCCAGCTGGGGCTACAGGGAGACCCTGTCTCAAAAAGATACAGCTGGTTGTGGTGGCTCATGCCTTTAATCCCAGCACTTGGGAGGCAGAGGCAGGTGGATCTCTGTGAGTTTGAGGCTAGCTTGGTCTACAGTTCCAGGTTCCAGGTCAGGTGGGACTACAAGGAGACCCTGTTTCAAAAATACCCATAGAGAGAGAGAGCTGTGGTAGGGCTCCTGTAGATTATCAGAGTTTTCTGTGCATCTCCATGTTGTACTTTAGAAAGTTATTGTTTGTATTTTTAACAGCAAAAAATGACATCTTTCAGTTCTGTATAGCATGTAAATTCTTACACATACATAGGCTGAGGGACCAAAAATAAAAAGAACTTGAATCCCTCATTACCAGTTTATTCTGACACATGCTTTGTATCCTGTCAAAACTGTAGCCTAAACTGACCATATTTGCATTTGTACATACCTTATGATTAGAAAATATGCAAGAACTTTTTCCACGTTGAGAACAAATGTTATTAGATAGCCTTAATTCTGTTGGGTTAGAGTGCTGCTGTTAAGGACTGCACTACTAATCCAGTTTTGTGTTTTCACATAGAAATGTGATTGGAATCAGGTTCATTTTTCTGTGAGAACATGAGTCAGTCTCAATATATTTATTTGGGAATGCAGTGCTGCACTATGTCTGTGCAGGCAATTGTCACAAAAAAATGTGAAGACACTGGTTCATAAGGAGCTGAAAGGTGCAAAACATCTTGGTCCATACCCTTGTTTCTTCCATGTTACAAAGAGCACCATCCCTTAGACTGATAGTGGCTCAGAGCTTTTTACTTTCTGATGGTAAACCCTGGGCTCAGTGGTCTTCTCCCCTTAGCCTCATAGTAACTGAGACTACAGGTGGCACCACCACAGCAGGTGGGCCTTCTTTTTAAGCTTGATGTTAGTCTTACTCTGATTTTTTTTTTTCAGATCTCAAGTGGGTACACACGTTTATTATGGCTCTTGTTTTATTTTACAAAGCTACTTAAAACCAGTGACTGGGGATTAAAAGAAAAGAATTGCTGATCCAATTAGAATGAATATAAGCTGTCGCTGTCTCCGCAGCATCCAGCACAGAGCTGTGTGTACCTGCTAGGTACTAGACAAAAGTGTGCAGGGGGGTGTGCCCCCGGAGTCACACCATGCCAGTGTGTGAGAGAGCTGGCTTCCATTGTCCACTGAGGGGTGACATGGTTGGCTTAGGTGATTGCCTTAGAGGTAATAGTGTTTGTGCAATAATTGAATACTGAAAAATCCTGACTTTATAGTGTTGCATTAGATTATTTTCATTTGAAAAGGTCATGAAATAAAATTATGTATTATTTTAAAGCTGTAAAGTACACTGCACAAATCAGAAGTTTTAGTAGAATGTCAGAAATCAAACTATAAGAAAATTCAACCATTGTTTCTGTTTTAGGTGTGTCATTGTTTTACATTCCACACTCCCTAATTTAGCCATTCTGTCAAGTGCCTTTGACATTTAAGGTATATGGTGGGAGATGAGCAGGTGCCCTTTTCCCTGACTTCCCAGTTCCTCGTGACCGTTTATTGTTTAACAGTGCTGCAAAGTTCAGTCCTTTGTGTTTATATGGGATTGTATTTGTAGCCTTGCATAGTAAACAGCAAAATAAACCATTTTGTAGAAAATGAAAAGCACGCACTTTGGCTTATTCAGTATGTTTCCTATTGCCTTAACTTCAAAGCATATCTTAGCTAGCAAAAACAAACAAGAAACAAAACACACACACACAAAACAAAAAAGTCTTGCATAATCACCCTGATTTGTCTCTGCTTCCCAGTAAAGTACATGGAGGAAAAATAATATCCATCTAGAAAGGATTTCTCAGTCCCAAGGAAAATAGTGATTGAGATACTCATGCTTCACCTTACTGATGTCCCCCTGAAGGAGAGAGGAAGACTGGATAGCACTGGCTGCTCTTGCAGAGGACCTGGGTTTGGTTCCCAGCACCCACATGGCACCTAATCGTCCATAACTCCAGAGGCAATCCAATGCCCTCTTCTGACCTTTGAGGGCACTGCACAACACAGGTACACTTACATACATGAAGCCAGTACACTCATGCACAAAAAATAAAATTTAAAAAGAGGAGAATAAGTTTCTCTTAATTTAAATAATCAGATCTGAGGGTGGTGGTGTATGCCTGTAATCCCAGCTCTCAGGAAGTGGAGACAGATCAGTTAAAGGCCAAGGTCAGCTACATAGTGAGTTTGAGGTCAGCCTTGGCTTCAATACTCTATAAAAAGCAGAACATGAAGTCCCAGTTAGAAAACCTGCCACCCATCCCTCAGCTGCATGGTGCTATTTTTTTAGAAGCAGCCAGAGTAATGATTGTCTCCAGCCTCCTTCCACACCTTGCACTGTCTTTTAATACTCTAAAAAGGGTTGTTCGGGCACATTGTACCCTGAGATACAGATTAAGTGTGTGTCAGGAATGCAGATAGGAAACTCCCTAAGTGCATTCTAAGAGTGACACTGTTTACTATAATTAATCACATGAGAGAAAGTCTGGAGAATCAGATCCTCCTAAGTCACACTTAGAACATGCCTGTGAGATGCTAAGCTCTGCTGTGGAGCAAGCTCTGTTCAGTGCTTCCCTGCTGTAGGTATATAAAAGGGTTTTGACAAGAATTCCAAGGGCAGTGCACTCAGGCAGCTGTGTACAAGGCAATCAGGTATAGAACAAAGGAACTGTAAAGAAGGGATGGAGAATGACGTCCCGGGCCGTTCCTTGAAACGTAAAATCTTGCTGTTTGGCCCAGTGTGGCAGCACAGGCCTTTGATTCAAGCATTTGGGAGGCAGAAGCAGGTGGATATGAGTTCCAGGCTAGCCACAGCGGACTGTAGCAAGACATTGTCTAAAATAAATAAAAGGGGGCTGGAGAGATGTCTTAGTGGCTAAGAGCACTGGCTACTCTTGCAGAGAACCCAGGTTCCCAGCACCCACGTGGTAGCTAACAACCACCTGTAACTTCTGTTCCAGGGGATCTGACACCCTCTTCTGACCTTGGGCATTGCACGACACAGGTGCATTTACATACATGCAGGCAATACACTCATCCACATAAAAATAATAAAGTATTTTTTTAATTCACATTCTTTATTTAAAAACTGGGATCATGGAGTTGGTTTAGTGGGCAACTGAGTTAGAGCCCCCAGTGCCCACATAAAAGACTGGGTATGGCTGTATGTGCTTATAACCCCAGCATTTTGTGGTAGAGTCAAGTGGATCATAAAAACTCACTGGCCAGCAACTCTAGACAAAATGGTCAGCTTCCAGTTCACTGAGAGACCCTGACTCAAGGCAATCAAGTAGAGAACTAAGGAAGGCACCCCATGTCCTCTGACTGCACACACAACCACATGCATTCAGGCAACACACACACACGTACATAAAACCCCTGTCATCTCTCCCCACCTGCCCTGTCACCTTCTACCTCATTTCTTTGCTCTTTATAGCAATGGTCCTTAAAAGACTCGCCTGTACTAAGTATCTCTTTTTTTTTTTGTCATTTTGAGATAGGGTCTCCCTATAGCCCCACCTAACTCAGAGATCCACCTGCCTCCACCTCCCAAATGCTGGGATTAAAGGGGTGTGCCACCATACCCGGCAAGTATCTCCAGGTTTTTTAAATTTTTTTTCCTCATTCAGTTACATGTGTAGAAGTCAAGTTTTGCTCTTGTGAAAGTCGATACCCCTGTGTTGCTAAGTCAGTTATACTTGTAGAAGTCAAGTTTTCAGCTCTTGTGAAAGTCGCTATTGACCCCTGTTGCTAGGTGCAGAGCTCCCTCAGCCTTTGTGTTTGCACATCAGCATCTGATACAGCTGATGACTCTTCTCAATATATACTTCCACATGCTGTTTTTTTGCTGATTGGTTCTCATTTCCCCATTCAACATGATAGTGTTCCTTGATCCAACTCTTGGTCTGCTCTGAATAAATTCCCTTAGTAATCCTACCAAATGTTACATCATGAAACATCTTCGTTCCAACAAATCCCGAGTTCACACCTCCTACCTGACTTCTCTTGACTTTGGACTCAATAGAATATTCTACTCAACATCATTATTGATCATTTCAGAGTTAGTGTATCTAAAACAAAATTCTAATGCCAAGTGTGGTAGCACATTCCTGTAATCTGAATTTTCAGGAGGCTGAGGAAGGAAGATCATGAATTTGAGCCCAGAGCAAAAGCCTCTCTCAAACATTTTGATCTGCTCCCCTAACCTGCCACACATGGATTCTGTCTTGTCTCAGTTTCTGGCAGCTGAATCTTTCCCATTGCTTAAGCCAAAACCCTTGGAGTTATACTAGCATTTAACTTTGCTTGCAAAAA